ACTTTTCATTAAGGGCTCAACCCATTTTGAGCCATCCATGATGCACTTGCTTCATTGATCCTCTTATATGCCATAATCTTGCATGCTATTTTTGGCCCATGAGAAATCTGTTTTTGAGCATGTTGTAAACTGGTATTAGGCTTATTTTGAGTCCCTCTTCAACATTGAAGAAGGGCTTAACACCATTTGGGACTTCCATGTTGTACTTACCCTTATACTCCCCTTTTGGTCCCATTTTTGCATGCAATGGCAGCCTACCATGCTTTTGTTTTTGGCCATTTTACAGTTCTGAAAAAGTGCTTATTTTGGTCCATTATTCATGTTTCATTTAGGTCCTTTCATGGTTTGCGACCTCCACATGCCACTTCATGTTATATCTCTCTTTTATTCCCCATTCTTGCATGTTTAGTTAGCCTATCATGCTTTTGTTTTTGGCCATTTTACAGTTCTGGAAATAGTCCTATTTTGGCCCATTCTACATGTTTTATTAAGGGTCTTTGGCTGTTTGGTGAATATTTTGCATACCTCATGTTATAGTCATTTTTGAGCCTCATTTTGCATCACATTTCTATCATGTTTGTATACTGATTTTGAGGCTGCCATATATTGTAAATATTCATATTTTTGGTCCCTCTTCAGTGTTGTAGAAGGGAATTTTTCAGTTTGGATTTTGCTTGTATCACTTGCTTCATTACCCCTCTCTTGGCCCTTATTCTTGCATGCCATTTTTTCCATACCTATGCTTGCTGTTTGGCCATGTTTATAACTGTGAAAGTGCCTTTTTAGGGACTGTCTAGCTTCTGTCTTTGCATTGCATGTCCATATTGTGCATGTTTGGCATAGCTATAGGCCATTTTGGGTGCCGAAATTCGCATTTCGGGACAATTCCTTGCATTTGGTGTCATTTCGCCTTATTTCGGGACTATTTTCCCCCATATCTTAGTGCTGAAATTCCATTAGAATGATTGCTTTCCATTTCTATGTCATTGCATCGCATTCTATTATCGCCTCGGTTTGCGTGCCAGTGTGCACGCATTTCGAGGCACTTCAATTTTCATCCATCGGCATCCTATGTGAGTGTGGCTGAGGCTCACTCATGTTGGTATAAGCCCATATCACATTTTCATGTCATTGCATCGCATTCTATCATCGTCGCGGTTTGCGTGCCAGTGTGCACGCATTTCGAGGCACTTCATTTTTCATTCATTGGCCTCTCATGTGAGTGTGGCTGAGGCTCTCTCATGTTAGTATAAGTCCATGTTGCATTTTCCATGCCATTTGCATCGCGTATGCCATCGCCTCGGTTTGCGTGCCCGTGTGCACGCATTTCGAGGCACTTCATTTTCAACCATCGGCATCCTATGTGAGTGTGGCTGAGGCTCACTCATGTTGGTATAAGTCCATGTTGCATTCTATATGCCATTTTTGCCATATTGCATTGCATACGCCATTGTCTCGGTTTGCGTGCCCGTGTGCACGCACTTCGAGGCACTTCATTTTCATCTTCTGGCTTTTTACGTGAGTGTGGCTGAGGCTCTCTCATGTTAGTATAAGTCCATGTCACATTTTCCTTGCCATTTTAGTCACTTGCATTGCATATACCATCGCCTCGGTTTGCATGCCCGTGTGCACGCACTTCGAGGCATCTCATTTTCATAGCATTGCGTATGTTAGGATTGTATCTTAGTTGCATTCATGCACATCATGCATATTGCATTGTGTTCGGAATAGGAGTTAGCCCGGGCACGGGAAACGAGGTGCATTTCGTACTTCGAGTGACGGAATGTGTCTCAATTCCCCAGTCACCGACACTCCGGATCATCCATGATGGAGTTAGGTTTTATTGTGTTTTCATGTGCATTCATCCTATATTGAATTGTGCATTTCGATTCCTCGGCCATCATGCCTCGGTATGCGTGATTGGTGGCACGAGGATCGAGGTATGCATATATTTGTGAAAATACACTGCTATGCCCCTTTTCTGCTCTCTGTTGCAGCAAAATCAGGAATCAGCAATTTTTTGGGACTTGGCACGCATTTCAAGAATAACTGCTAAACAGAGACTAATTGGGGCATCCCGGTGGATTTCCGCGCAAGACAACCCGAACGTGCATCATCCATCAGAAGCGAGGCAGTCCCTGGCTTGCACGCCAGTTTTATTTACTTTCTTAGTTAATTTGTTAATTAATTAGGAATTTGTATATTATTCGGACTGTAATATTTGGACTGTAATATTCTTTTATTCGGGACTGTATTATTTATTCGGACCCTCTGAGCGAGGGCATAACTGTAATAAGTGTGTGTGAGTGTGATGTATATCTTCCAACCCCACGTCTTTCTCCCTTTTATTTATCCGCTTACGATGGTTAGATTAGGGCATATTTCGATTAGCATACAGTATGATAGCATGTTTGCATCATTCATCTGTATTGCATGCACCGGGCTCGGCGCATCATACTAACTGCATTATACCTTCAATTCCAAATTGAATACATGATAGTTGTAGCATTTCATATGCCATCGTAGAATAGCCGAGCCTGCTATAATTGCATTTTGCATGTGTTGCATTAGGCATTTCTGTATAGTTAAGATCATGCATGATTTCTAATAAAATTTCTATTTTGGCTTGGAGTACTCGGTAAGTTTTATGCTTTAGCATCCTTGCATGCGTGTGAGTGACTGCCATGAATAGCATGCTTACCATGAGGCTATGTGCTTATATGATATAACTGCCTGAATGTCTGTGGGTGAAGGTTGGGTTATCTGAATTGGAATAAATCATCAAATGTTTCAAACCTACCTGCGGGTAGCAAACCATTTTCAAAAAACGAACATGAAATGTTTTTCAGATACTGGAACACTCAATCTCTCTGAGACTTGACCAAGGGCCCTGTTATGGTCCAACCTCGTCAAACAAGTAATGTTTTTCTCAGATATTGATGGTGCAAATTCCTTCAGGATCAATGCATTGGTGTTGGCAGGGTTAGCAACAACCAAAACCTAGTAGAAACAATAGACAAGAGTTAAACCTGACCAATTGTTTACATGAACACACCATATATGTATATTCTTCTTTACGTTACTGATGACTTGGTTATTAATTTACACTTAACCACAAAGTAAGAAGTTTCAAAATTGCGGACAAACTATTCAACTCTTAGAAAGAGAATATAGCTATACAGTTGAACTGTTGAAATTATTTTTCCTCTTTTATTCATGAAAAAACATTTGAAAAATTCCCAGTGGTGTCATACTGACAAAAAGTGTTTCACATGTCCATCAAAATTTCTGCAATTGTTTACGATAAATGTCTCGTGATTATTATTAATTCAATCTTCTCAAAAAATTTGAATCACCTTGCAGTTTGCAGCAGCATACTTCTCCAGAGCGGAAGCTTGAGAATTGTAAATGGCAACATTTTTTGACATCACGTCTTTTCTTTCCATACCTTCTTTCCTAGGGAACCCACCAACCATGACAGCAATATTGACTCCAGTGCATGCCTCAACAACATCAGTTGTAGCAACAATACCTGATACAAATATCATGTTAGATTCACTTTACCATAGGTCAGTGTACCACAAAAATTCCAAACACAAAAAATAATAACAAATTAACTTGATAAATGAAAACAACTAAATATTATGTATCATTCGCTTCATGCAGTATTTCATAAAGAATGATCAGGATTCAGGAGTAGCCAGAGTGATGAGGCACTTACCTTCAAGAGACGGAAAGTGCGCAGCATCCCACAGAACTCCATTTCACTCTGCAGTCCTCCGCAGCGCATGGGAAATCAACATTTGAAGAACAACAGGCTTGGTCCGGAGGCGCCAAACGTGGATAGAACTCCGGTTCGGCAATCAATGAGAACCAATGAGAGGCAGTATCCAATGTTGGCCCTGGCAACAACCAACCGAGACATTGATCCCTCTTAATGTACATTGCTCACCAAACGAAGTTAAGCAGAAGATGATGCCAGAGTTAAAAGGAAACCACATAACTCTTATGTTGTTGTTGGGTTCATTAAAGAATAGTTGTGCAGACTCTTATTAACCTAAAATCCTCAAATTGAGGTGATAACATTGAGGGAGGTATAAGTTGCATGACATGTAGGTTAATTAAACAGCACCCAGTAAAACTATAAATAATCCAGAAGATTACCAGAAGGTGTTAAGAAAGTGTCCAATAAAAAAAACATTTTAAGTCATAAATAATCAATATCCTACTATTTATTATAATTTTTCTGTGTGTTTTCTTGAAAGACTGATCGTTAATTGCAAAGAACTAGAAATGAATATTCTAAACTTTTCAGACACGTGATATATAGGTCCAGCACAGCTGCACTGCTTGGCACAAGTCACCCATAATTGACCCTGCACATGCTATTGAGACCAAACCAGTAGAATTAACCATTCATGTTACCTTATTAATTGCAGTAGAAAGGACTTCGTTTAGTAGAAATCGCACATTTGTTGGAGTTGGCATCGTAAAATTCAATACAGTTTCAATACGGTATTGATGGGTAAGAGACAAGTTGGCGGAGTGAATCACAAAATAGCCTATAAAATCAGGGAGGTGAATGGGTGAATCCTGAATAGCATCAATACAATTACTTCTTGATCAATTGAATTTGGTATTTCTTGCACCTTTTTTTTTATTTGAAAGAATCAGTTCAAACATACCTTTTTAAATCTTGTTGAGGTTATTTATTGAGATTCCATTCCTTTGTCGTTTCTCGTTCCCTAGTTGATTTTCCAAAGACTCAATTGCACAAGAAAAAAGAAAAAAGTTTCGTGTTCGCCCTTCGTAAGTATTCTTTCGGCTACGAGCATATTCTAACTTTTACGTCAGGAAGTGTATTGCACTTGAGCAAATGGAGTGCTTCTTTCACAGGATCAAGTGAATAGCTTGTTTGAATATAACTTATGTAAAAAAACATATGGGTGTTATGTTGTACTTGAGGGAATTGCAGCGTGGGGTAGTTTAATGATTTATATAAACCTTCGTTTATTAAGAATATTGGTTTGATAAGAAATTTTGAAAAGAGAAGATGTTGCAGTGTGGTGGATCCTAGTACTAGGAACAGTGTATTTTGGGGTATGTTTTGTTCTTATGGGATGATATTGAGGAGTTTTATTGTTTTCATTTCTATTACATTTATCATGTTACACAGGTATTAAACGGGATGGTTTGGTGCAAGAGAATATAGCATGAATCAAGCACATGAGTCATCCTTCAAAACCACATTTTTTTATGTAGTAAGCTTTAAAATTTACAGGTATATAGTCGGTGTAGAGAGGCTGAATAGATATATATACTGTTGTTTTTATGTGCAAATTAGAAATTCGGTATGACAAGAGTTCGTTGTATATTCAAGACTTTCGGATGTCGATTCACGGATTTGGACTTCATGGATCCTACAGGGAAAAAGCTGTAACAAAGCTCTTACCAGACATATCCCACTCGTGATAAAACCGGATTGCAGCTAAGTTGAATCTACGTATACTGTCCATTGAAAAAGCGGATAGCTTAGCTTGAAGATAAATTCGTCAAGCTAGGTCAGACAGAGTATTATTCAATCCATCGATCACAACACGTTCGATCTATCTAATCAGTACAATAACCCTAATTGTCCCAACATAATCCAAAACAAAGATTTCAAGGGCAGCCAACTGGAGCTGTTCAAACAAATCACTAAGACAGATATGGTTCTACTTCTGTAGTGTATTGCAATTTGTTGACAGTATTTTCACGTTAATTGAAACCCTAAATTATGTAGATGACCGGAGTTTATGTAGATGGGTAAGGAGAGTCGATGAAGATGAGGGTGGTATTGCGAGCAATGACAACAACGCATTAAAATTGAGAGGGAGAAAAAAGGAAGGGAACATAGTGTAGTAGAGATGTTTTAGCAAGGGGTGTTGGGGGAGTAGTGGAAAACAGGGCGTACCGCAGGCAGCAGTGACGGGGGCGGCGAACTGGTCTTCGCCATATGTAGAGAGAGAGAAGGGAAGAGACTCGGATTTGAAATTGCAAAGTGGGGGTAAAGAAGATAAAGTTGAATGTTTTTGGGTGCTTAGTTGATTGAGGAAGTGAGCTGCCCAGTTGTAACGCTAAGCCGTCCGTGATGTAAGTGATGGTAGACGTGCTCCGAGTGGTAGGAATGTTTAGTTTGGGTAGGGTTAGCGTTGCGGCTTTAAGGTGGTGTTTAAGAATGTAAAACGTAATAACGATTGGGGGGGGGTGAAGTTGGGCGGGGTGGAGGGGGGGGGATTCGATCGATAATATTATAAGTTGCGGATTTTTTAATGCCTTTTTAACTTGATTTTTGGCGGATTTAAAATTTTTAATTAATTATTTAAATATTTACATAATATATAAAAGATTAATAGAGTATTAAGATGTTATAGTTTATAGAGTTATAGGTATAGTATAAATAGAAAATTAAGATTGGTAGCGGAAATGAATAAGGTATTTATAGTGTG